ACTCCAATGTGAAGTCAGTCAGTACTACTATACGGATCACAGACTTGCACTGCGCGTCATAAAGAGCATCTCAAACAAACTACAGACCTTCATTAACAGTTGTCTTCGCTCAATAGTCAAGATCAGATGGCCGGTCAGAAAAGATCAGCAACAGGGATTTCTGGCAATGAGCGAACCAACCAGGAACTGATTGTGAAACAAACAGGCAGGAAGAAATGGAGATAGATTGATTGGCCATACTCTGAGGAAACAAACCATCAAGTGACATCACTAGACAAGCCATCGCTCGAGTGGAACGCGAAAGGGAAGCGGCGAGTTGGTCGTCAGTGCGAGGGTGTGGTGACTTGGAGGAGGTCATGTGAAGAGGAGATGAAAACGTATGGGCAGACTTGGAGCCAAGTGAAGACTCTAGCAGAGAACCTAACGCAATGGAGACGCACGGCTGAAGCCCTATATTCCTGTAAGAATTAAAGGATACAATGATAATGATAATATAATGATAAAATCACACTGCTGTTATACAGTAATATTTACCGATGACCACGTTTTAAGCACAAATTATTGCCAATCATAATAATATCAAGGCACTACTCACACAACTTTCTTGCTTCATTTATATACATGAGTGGAATTGATGATTAGATATTTGAATAAAATCAGTAATATAACATAAAGTACATTCAGAATTATTAATATGAGTGTTATCAATCAAATACAATCAGATGGGAAATAAGACGAGTGTTTTTTTATAGTCAAAATAAATAACAACAGCTTGTAAGAATGTTATAATATGAATTGAATATATTTTAACATTATTTATTATCCTCCTCTGATTTGACTGGTAATAAAATCTCCCATATCCCTGGTATTTGCGTTGAGTCATTGCTAGAGTTTTAACCCTCTCCCGCCCCATTGTGTGGTTATGTGTGTTAATGTATGCAGTGCGACTGCTGAGCTGTTTTCATAAGAATTACTTATCTTCTCTGAGTCAATCATTCTTACCTTAGCTAAATTCTTATGTTCTGACAGGCAATCTCACTACTCACATTATAACATTCTAACAAGTTACTTATTATTACTATTAAAACAAAAACACTCGTCTTATTTCTCATCTGATTGTATTTGATTGATAACACTCATATTAATAATTCTGAATGTACTTTATCATCTTATATTACTGATTTTATTCAAATGTCTAATCATCATCAATTTTTACTCATGTATATAATAAATGAAGCAAGAAAGTTATGCGAGTGAGTGCCTTGATATGATAATGAGCAGTACTGATAAACCGTGCTCGATACGTGGTCATCAGTAAATATTACTGTACAATAGAAACTGTGTGATTTTATCAGAATAACATTTTATCCCCAATGGAGTTATACTTTACCACAGTGCTCAAGTTTTATCTTTATCTATCAAAGTAGTATTCGTTGTAATCATTAGTGTTTGCATCAGGCTTTAAGGGAGACATTGAGCTTCAACAACCCATCTACATTTAATCTTCTTCGCTTCAGTCCCCTTTAACTAGCTCCATGACTGCCAGTAATCTCTCATCTTCTTCTCACATGATCTACTGTATGTTATCCTTGGACAAACACCCAAATCATAGTTTAGCATTGGCGAACCCCTCGCGAATGTGGCGTGATGAGCCAATATTTACTTTACCCTATTTCGTTATTCCGTAATCAGTATCATTGATTTTCATTAGAGCTGATGTCATTTCTGTGTATAAACATTCGATTTGGTCTAGTACAATCATCTTCTTATAGTTAAATGGAATTCAATGTATATTTCTTATTCATGTTCCACATTCTACTGACCATTTCTGATTCGATTCGCTTTATTCTTGATTTATACTTTCGTGCACTGATTATTTCTGACACTGGATTACCTTGGACACAGCTTTGCTGTTTTATTCTTACTGATAAAAAGTTACAATACACTTGATGTTTCACAGTCTAAACACTTCACTATATGCATATGTCCGTGTCACACTGGTAGAGTGCTCACAAACCACACCTCATGTGGCTCGGAGTTCGATCCCCGGCCACCGACCTACTCCTTTACCTCACTAAGCCAGTAATAAGACTTCTATGGAGGGAAGGTTGTGCATGAGGCTAGCAATCCCATCTCCTAAGTATAAATACCATTGCTACCAAAACTTCAAGCCTCTAGCTTGGTGCCCTATGTTCCTCATACGCTGTCTAAGTGTGAGTTGTTTATGACACACAGTTTTCTGTCTCCCTCACTAGGTTCTTCCAGGCCTTATTCGAAGGAAAATGTCAATAACCAACTTTTGAACTTGTTGGGTAGTTTGAACTAATTCGAACCTGTATTGATCTCACCCTCCAAATGAATGAAAACGTAATAGAGTATTTAGGTCATCTCAATGTGTTCAGAAAGCATTAAACTGCTTAGTGTGAGCGGTATTCAGCTATTCATATTACTCAGTCAGTGTAGTATAAGGCCTAAAGCTTACATATCTAATTATTGATCTCAAATGACTAGTACATCTGATGTAACGAATTAACCTCCCTTTTTAATAGTTCAGTAATAATAATAATGTTTTTGGATGGACAAGATTCTTTTTTTAGCCGTGAAATCGTGATAACTTTATTGGACTGTTTTGATTCGTTTATTTATGGCTTAAATTTCTGACATGGCATATAGTTTGTCTGCTAAAAATTGCTTTTCCATTATGCGTAAAATTTATTTTGATAAAGTCTCACAGTGTTCTACAGTGTCAATATTTATTGATCACCACGTTTCGAGCACCATTTATTGCCACTTATAATGATTTCAAGGAACTACTCACACAGCTTTCTAACTTCGTTTATTTAGGTCCATCACTATTTTTCATCGCTGGATTTGATTGGTGATAGTATTTTCCATATTTCCGGTATAAGTAATGAGTTGGGTGTAGACTCGATGAACCAGACAGGATTCAGTAATCAACCTCTCTCTGTCTCCACCTACCTATATAACTTTTTAGAATTTTAACCTCTTCCCACCCTAAAAGTGAACTAACTACTGATCCTGAACTTAGTCATAGAACAAAGCTGCCCATTGAGGAAATTATTTTAGGAATTCACTAATGCCTCACATCTACTATCTTTAAATTTCAAGGTAAAATATATAGACAAACAGGTGTAGCAATGGGATGGATCACCAATATCCCTTATCGTGGCAGATATCATTATGGATGACAGCTGGGAAAATATTGCTCTTAATACATTTAATCCTACTCCAAAAATATGGTGGAGATATGTGGTTGACACTTTCACACACAGTGTTAAAAACAGAATATATCTCTCTCTAGCTTCTTCACACATATAGAGTCACAAGTAGAGGGAATAAAATTCACATTTGAATCGGAAAATGAACAAGGAGAATTAGCCATAATGTAGGACTGTAAAATAAAACGAATAGAAGAAGGTTAACTGCACACTAGCGTTTACAAAAAGGCAACGCATTCTAATAGATATATGGAATTTAATTCATGTCATCCGTCGCTTTCTTTGAAGGCTGGTTTAGTTAAGTGCCTAACAAACCGAACAATGGCACTAAGTAGCACATTAAAACACCTAAATAATGTAATAAAACAGATAGAAGGAGAAGCGCTGGTGTTAAATAACTAACTATCCTATAAAATTGATTAGGAAGATCAGAAAAGGCGAAAAGCACAATTAAAAATAATGGCGAGACTAATAATAATAACATAAATAAGAAAGAATGTAAGGCATCTACAGTTCCACCATATAAGGAGGGGAAATCTGAGACCCTCCCTACGTAAGATTCTTAATAAAGCCGAAATTAAAGTGGCATTCAGACCTACAAACTAACTCAGGCAGAACAAGCTCTGTAGGTTATAGGACCCTGTAGGTTGACCGAACTAGACAAAATAATATAATTTACAAAATACCCTGTGAGTTGAATCAACTACATAGGTCAACCTAGTAGATCGGGGTCAGTCAGATTGTCGGGACATAAGAATTTAGCTTAAATGTAGAATGATTGACCCCGCGAAGATAAGTAATTTGGAAAAAAAGCTCAGTAATTGCACTGCATGCATTAACACACAACCACACAATAGAGTGGGTGGGACAGAGTCAAAATTCTAAGAAGTGATATAGGTAGGTGGAGAGTGAGAGAGGTTGATTACTGAATCCTGGTTCATCGAGTCTACACCCAACACAACACATGCAATAGGAATGACTCATCTCTCATACCGAAAATATGGTAAATACTAGCGAGGAGAAATAATGGAATTATATAAACGAAGTTAGAAAGTTGTGTGAGTAGTGCCTTGATATGATTATGAGCAGTTATAAATTGTGTTCAAAACGTGGTGATCTATAAATATTACTGTAGAACACTGTGAGACTTAATGGAAATTAATTTTACCCATAATGGAATTATACGTTGCCACAGAGCATAACTTTTATTCTTATATCAATGAAACATCGTTTTTGTCGTTCCGATCCTCTTTCTTCCCAATTTGAGTTTTGTATCTATCTCAGTGTGGAAGATATTTTCGGGTGATCAGTTAGTTATAGGGTCAAGTGATCTGAAGTGACATTCCAGTCAAGTTAGACGACCTTACAATCCAGTATCACGGCATCTTATCATAATATTTCCACAACAGTCCAACAGAAGATCAATAGGGAGTCTAAATACTTCAGCAGTAAATCCTCTGACTTCAACACTGGGTGACGCGGATTTGAATCTCGGGAAGGACATGAGTTTCTTCAAAATTTCTCAAACACATTACCGATGAATGCCAGCAAGCAGGAAATCTAGATTCAGGATATTCTCCCGACTGCCTCCATCCTTCGAATATCAATGACGGATTTTGATTTTTAAACGGAGATCCAATCGTATGGTCTGTTCATGCATTTAAACAAATATCATTCATTGTTCCATTAGTTTATTTAAAATTGAATCGCTCAAAATTTAATTTTGATTAAAAAAATTAAATTTACAACGAAAGCACCAACTTACTAAATGATTCTGTACAAAAGTTTTTATTCTTTTTAAAATTTGTAAATTTTTTTCCGCGCGTAAATTGATTTGGTAATGTATGATAATATTTTTCCATGTTTTTATTAAATTCACTATTGAATTTTGTCTCTTTTTCATGTGTACATGAATTACTTTCACATAGGTAATCCCCAGATGAATTTATTAGATGTTGTTGAAACAGTGGACATGTACATCCATACTGGATATTAGTTATGTTTGTAAGTCCAGAATTTATCTGATAACATCTCCCATGAGACTGGAAACAACTTTGACAGTCGAGTGTAGTTGGGTCAGTGACTTCTGTAACTTGAAAAGACAGAATAATAGATTGCATAATAAGTATCTTTAACTATTTTAGTGAACTATATAATAATAATCTACTTTATTCCAATACGCAGTGCTTATAATACAGAATGGAATTTTCAGCATTTATCGCAATATTGCATCTGATTTACTCATAATATAAATAAAATCAACCACAGGAATTTGTCCAGATTTACGGTATGAAGTCAAAAATATTCGAAGTACAAAATTAGAATAATAAACGTAATAATAATAATAATAATAATAGTGAGTTTGTTTCAAACAGTATTGTCGATTCAGTTTGGAAATTTTAGCATGTTATAGATTATTGGATCTTATGTTCTGTTGATGTAGCGTGGTGGGAGAAAAGACAAAAAATAATAGTTATAACACAGCTTAGATGATGTTCACACTTATGAAAAAATAAAAACAAAAAATTGAGAGGATTATAAATATAAGAAATACAATAAGAATAAAGGTTGATGTTGTAAAGGTGGAAGAAATTGTTTATTTACTAGTGCAAAGAAGGTTATTTAGTTCATGCCTAACACTATTTTCATCACATAAAGTAAGTGCCGCCAAATGTGGTATAGTGGAATTTTTACACTTAGACGTACGTGCATAAAGTCTTCTGAAAAGACTTCTTGTTTTACCTGAGGAGACACAAGGTTGGAGCTGCGGGTAAAGTGGATACTCACAGTCTGACAAAATTCCTTTAGCAAATTTGTTGCATGACATCAAGTGCCTATCAGTGACAATGTCAACGATATGGCCCAATTGGATACCACTCGTCCAACTGACTGACAGTCTTTAGAGCTCTACGAAGTATGACATAGTCCTTTTTAAGCAATCCAGGAAAGAATAAGAGTGAACAGTAAAGAAGAATAGGTGAAATACACGAGTTGACAAACTGTAAGAGGAGTGGTTGGGTTATGCCTGAGTGCCTTAACTTCTTAATGTAAAAAGTCAGACGAAATATTCTTTTAGAAATTGCTAAGACATGGGAAGACCAGGATAGGACAGAAGGAAGAATTAATGCAAGATATTTAACTTCAGACTTGATTTCTATATTACTATCATCAATTTTGCAAGGGTCATGGGAACCAACGGCTTCATTTAACTCTCGTTTACATCGGAAACTGAAATTGACAGTCTGACATTTGGAAGGATATAGTTTAAGGCCGTTAGAGGAAGACCATTTGCTGATTCCTGATAGAAAGTTGTTCATCTTAGTACAGTCTAGCTGGGGGTTAACAGATATATAAATAGTTAGATCGTCGGCATACTTGACAAAGTTCATTTCATCAGAGTGAGGCAAGTCATGCAAGAATAAAGAAAACAGAAAAGGAGAAAGAACAGCGCCTTGAGGGACACCAGCCCCAGTAAGCAATGAAGTGGACGACTTTCCCTGACATACAGTGTACTGCTTTCTTCCTGAGAAATAAGAATGCAGCCATTTGACAACACAACAGTCAGTTTGAGTTTCAGCAAGCTTGTTCAACAAAATGTCCCTAGGTACTGAGTCGAAAAAGCAGATGTGTAATCTAGGAAGGTGCAGCGAACAAATTTAGCCTCCTTGTCTAAGCTGGAGACAGGATTATGATGCAAGACTGCAGATGCATCTAAAGTACTTCTACTGTGTTTATAGGCGAAGGGTTTGGGATCGTTAAAGGCTTTAAGTGAGCGTTGAAGATTAATTAGGAATAACTTTTCCATAGCTTTTAGAAAAGGAGAGGTAATAGCAATAGTTCTAAACGTAAAACATGTTCCAGTAGATGACTTAGTTATAGGTATAATTTTAATGTCCTTCCAAACAGCTGGCAAGACATTTCTGGAAAAAGATGCATTAAATATGTCCATGAGAGGATAACACAGGATATCTGCACATTTTTTAAGAATACGGCTAGGCAAACCATTTGGACCTAGGCTACAAGAAGGGTTCAGCGACTTGAAACTTTATCCAGTCAGTCGCCTAGATTACCTTGTTCAATGAGAGGATAAGCGTATTTATGGGATGAAAACTAATTTTCGTTTCATGGTTTTTGTTCAACTGTTGTTACAGCCTAATTTCGGTAGAACTCGTCAGCTGAATACTCTAAATACACGGATATTTATACGTTTGAAATTACATTGGGAGATATAGGACTGATAAGTAAACAAACTACATTGAATTAGTCATACAGAAAGACAGGTGCGAATGTTTTACAGGTCATGCTCAAATAGATAAGGGGAGAGAGAGTATGAGAGATCAAAATTAAGATAAATTGTATTACGCCTCAATTACATCACTTAGAAAAACAATTAGTCATTGGATAATATATCAAGAATTGCAAACAGAGTGATATCAATAGTAAAAGTTATAATAACAATAATAATAATAGTGTTGAAGTGAGTTAAGATAACCCTATTGATAAAGGATAGTTTTAAATGTATCAAGAATAATAACAATGAGAGGTAGAATAATAAGTAAAACGTATTACCATGGTAGATCCAGAGTGACGACCATCTCTTTTTTTGTACACAGAGACCTGGTTTATAAACTCGAATTGCACAAGCCTCCTCCCAAATTGCAAGCATCTTTCTGTTTCTTTGTCTGTCTGCTGACAACTGCGTGAATGACTTGACAGCGTCAACATCATGTCCGTAGTCCACAAGATGTTTTGTTATTGAGGTTCTTAGCACTTTTCACTCAGTTGTTTTCAACCATTTCGGTAAATGCTCCATCATGCGAGTAGACGATGGCTTTTCTGTACCACCCTATGTATTTGCTTCCCCCCAACAAACTCACTCATCAATTAAGTAAACGCATTTTGAAGTGTCTAGGATTGGCGACTGATCTTTCCCAGATTGTTAAAGCACTCGCTTGGTGGTGGGAGTGGTGTTAAGGAAAACAAGTTTTGCAGCATAATAAGTTCTCTTGATAGTAATATCGAGTCTTCGTTTGACTAATTCTTGTACAAATCATCTTCTTTGAATGGCAAATTGAAATAGACAGATTTCTTCGGAACTATTTGGATAGTTTTGCCTCTGCTTCTACCGGTGGCACAGTGGTAGAATGCTCACCAACTACGCCTCATGTGGTTCGGGGTTCGATCCCCGGCCACTAACTCACTCCTTCACCTCGTCAAGCCAGTAATTAGACTGGTAAAGAGGGAGGGTTGGACATCGGGCTAGCAACCCTATCCTGTAAAAATATATACCAATCACTGCTACCGAAACTTCAAGCCTCTCACTGGGAGCCATCCTATGTTCCACTGGGAATGTAAAAGAATTAAAAAATTCAGTATGGCAGATCAATATCACATTATTGGCCTGTCATTTTAACGTTAATCCATCAATCTATGCAACTCCTGGCTACAGACAAGTTCAACTCAATTTAATTAAACCTGATTGACTGATAACGACTTCTGAATCTGTTGATAATTTTTTCTTAAAAAAGAAAGTTTAAATCTGTCATTTTGAAACAATTCAGAAAAAAATAACCAGAAAAAAATGGTGAATTCAATCTTTTATCAACTAAAAGAAGAGAGTAGGATACATTAGAAAATTAATCTATTCAAGTATCCTGTGTCTATTGAACATTGAATAACCTTGAAAGCTATTATGTACTTATTTCAAATAGGCGCGAATGTGTCTACAATAGATTGTTCAATAATAAAAGTGTATTATCCCTATGATAGATGATGTAATTAATGCTAGGAAACTTTGATTGCATAGATTTCTGGTTGAAGTGAAACTTTAGACAGTAATTCTAAACTATCATTATATTATTGTTCCTTTGGGTTCCTAGTGGAACATAGGGCTTCAACTGCACGTCTCCACTTGATTCTGTCTTCTGCTGTACTTTTCACCTGCATCCAAGTTAGTCCATACTGTTTCAGCTCCTCTTCACACGATCTCCTCCATGTCACCCTTGCACCGACGAACCACTCGCCGCTTCCCTTTCCGGTTCCACTCGAGCGTTGACCTGACGCGCGATGTCACCCAGCGAATGGCCTCCTCAGTGAGTGTCCAATCCATCTCCACTTTCTCCTGCATATTTGTTGAGCGATCGGTTCTTGTTTTGTTTCTTCCCATAGTTTCTTGTTGGTGATTCTGTCTGGCCATCTGATCTTGAGTATAGAACGAAGACAGTTGTTGATAAAGGTCTGCAACAGGCTGTTCGAAATATTCCTGGTGACCCGCCAAATTTCTGATCCGTATTGAAGAACTGACTGACTTGACGTTTGTATTGAAAATCCGAATTTTGTTGTTGATTCAGGCTGAGTGACGAAGATTTCCAGATTGGTTTCAGGTTGATGAATGTGTTTCTCGCCTTCCTGATTGTCGATTTGACATCGTCGTCCGTTCCTCGTGTGGTTGAGACAATGCTCCCTAGATAAGTGAATGAAGTAACCTCTTTCAAATCCCTCCCGTTGATGGTGATTGGCGCTATAGCAACTTAAAATGAAACTACCTAATATAAATGCATGTGATGACCTTGAGCAACCAGTTAGATATATCCGTAGAGCATAGGTAGAATTATGGATATCGCACACAGATTATGTTGTTAATTCCAGCTGGGATAACAGACTTATAAGAAGATTTTAGATGTGGAGGAGTGATGACTTTACAGAGATGTGCAGCAACTGTTGACGGATATGTGTACAGATGTCCGGCGTGTCGTTACGGAAAATCTGCCCAGGAAGATATGTTGTTCCTTTGACAGGTTCATGGGTGATGTACAGCAGTGAATAGATCACGAAACAGCCTGATATACAGTTATCAAGATGAATTTATGTATAGAAGTAGGCGCTTGGACTATCCCTGAAGGCTCCGATAAGGAATTAAGAGGTTTTTTGGGATATATACGGGAAAGTTACCCCGTATAACTATTTCCTGACACTAATTTTAATATATATGTAGAAGAGTTTTTTCTTAAATTACGTGGTTCATCATCATCATCATCAACCTTATTCAACAGCTGTACGACAACGGCATATGTCAAGTGATCCACAACGGAA